GACATTTACCCACAGCCAATCAGCCGTCAGCCCCCCCCAGAGGCCCAGACCGGAGATTTACCCACAGCCAATCAGCCGTTAGGCTCAAACTAGAGGAAGCTGTGTGACTTCAGGTCTCACTCAGTAAGAAAGATCAGCGATTGCATCTGAAAAATGTAGATTCACCGCTGACCAATCACAGCTCAGGATTCAAATTAGGTGCAAATCTGCTGACACAGCCAGATTTTTCAGCAATGGGAAAAATAAAAATGAACCACGACAGAAAATCAGTGAGTTATGAACGAAAAGAGGACATTTGTGTTCAAACTGGAACAAATTTGACGTCTTATCCACTGATTAAATGGAGAAAAAAAACTTCTGGATACACTTTTAACCCTATAATGCCAAATGTGTCATATCTGATCCGGTTTCTTTTGGATCTGAGACTTTCTGCATCATTCAGTGGTAAAAGCTTTGCTCAAACCCCTGTTGTACACATTCAGATATACCTGATAACAGCCAGTAGAAGACTACTCCAACAGATATTTTTCACTTATTGCACGCTAATTTGATCAAAACAATTTCTGTTTTTTTTCTTCATATGTTGTTGAGGGGCCAAAGAAAGACTTCAGACTGAAGAAAAACTAAAAACACTTCAGACTAGGGCTTTTAACCCTTTGAAGCCTGATCCAAGAAAAATAAGAAGAATATTGGATATTACAATTACTTTTTTTTGTTTCAACTCCTTATTTGGGCTTTTAACAAAATATGTAAAAAGAATAAACAGAATACATTTTTAATATTAATAATTCATTACTATGCGATAAATCCAGATTATTTTTTGTGTATCTTCTGCCCCCTGTTATCAGGTGTATCTGATTGTGTTCAATAGGATTTTGAGCAAAGTTTTTACCATTAAATTATGCAAAAGGTGTCAGACGCAAAACATTTCAGAAACCATATGAATCAAATATGATACAATTGGCATTACAGGGTTAAAGCTATTTTTGCCTTTAAAGCTGTTTTTAGGGCTTTATTGCACGCTAATTTGATCAAAATAATTTCTGTTTTCTTTTCTTCATATGTTGTTGAGGGGCCAAAGAAAGACTTCAGATTAAAAAAATATATATATTCTTCCTATTTTTCTTGGATCAGGCTTTAAAGGGTTAAGATCCCATTCATCAAAGTTGATTGCCATAACCAAAAATACATTTTTTACTTATTGCATGCTAATTTGATCAAAATAATTTCTGTTTTTTTTTCTTCATATGTTGTTGAGGGGCCAAAGAAAGACTTTAGTCTAAAAAAAATCCAATATTCTTCCTATTTTTCTTGGACTTTAAAGGGTTAAGATCCCATTCATCAAAGTTGATTGCCATAACCAAAAATACCCCCCGCCCCCCCTCCACATTCCTCTGGTTTCTGGGGGGGGGGGCAGCTGTCCGGGGACTGACCGGCTCGCAGCGGTGTGAGCGGGGGCCGTTGGGGTCCGGCCCGGGGCCGTAGGGGTCCGGCCGGGGGGGGTCCGGCCCGCCCCCCCGCAGCAGCGCCTGCAGGGCCTGGATGTAGCTGATGGCGTTGCGCAGGATCTCCACCTTGGGCAGGCGGTGGGGGGGGCCGGGGGCGGTGCAGCGCCTCAGGCTCTGGAAGGCGTCGTTGACCCGGGACAGGCGCCGGCGCTCGCGCGCGGTGGCCGCCCGCCGGCGGTCAGCGCCGGGGCGGCGCCGCTGGCAGGCCTTACAGGCCCAGGGCAGGCAGCGGCCGGCCTGGTGGGGGCCGGCCCCGGGGGCGCGCACGTGCTGCTCCTCCTCCTCCTCCTCCTCCTCCGCCGAGGGCACGTGGTGGGGGGGGGGCTCCTCCGCCTTCAGCGGC